ACAAGGAATGTCAGACAGGTATGTATCCTTATGCTTTTCATATGTAGAAAGTCATTCTGTTTTGTTTGTTTTTGTTTTTTTAATAAAGGCAAAAAGAATCATTTACAGTTTCTTAAATGTGAAAACATTCATTCTTGGATCACAGACTTTGAAAATCTGATTTATTCCTTTTATAATTATTTTCATTAACGCTAATAACTACCCCAAATTGAGTCCATCTGCACAAATAACATTTTGTGTAGAGTGGACAAACATCTCCTCTGTGTGTGTACTTCTGTTTTTCAAATGTACAAATTATTATAACTACTAAGATACATATTTATATAAAAGCATTAGTGATTTTAAAGAAAAGCATTTGTGATTTAACTTTAGTTCTCTTTTTAAAAACACTGTAAGTTGATTTGTCATTTACTAAAAGTATAACTATGTGTCTGAGGTACTGGTGATCAGGAAAATTATTTTAATTCATACCTGGAACGGTTGTAAATATTGCCCCAGTCCATGTTAACTGCCACTACCTTTATATTTTCTGTTAGTTCTGTAGCCTACTCTGCCCGAAGCACTTTTTTATTTTTGTTTTTAGTAATAATTTTACTACCCATAATATACTATATTTAAAAGCATAGTCTGTCAACACATAATCATGAGTTTTGATGTAGGGTGCCTTTGTTTTGGTAGGAGTCAGGGAGAATCCTGTTTTCTTTCCAGAGTAAATTTGATTGCTTTATATTCCTGTTAAAATGGTGAACTCTTTGTGTACATGAGTTTATATTGTGTGCACATTCGCATGTGGAAGGTAGTAATATGTGTGTATGTGGGTGGTTACACATTTTTTAAAAATTTCTAGATTAAATATTGGATTGTTTAAAATAAACTGTTGTGAACTTTTTCATTTGACAGTGCTCATCAGAAACATTCCATACCATATAGATTTAAATATACTTTGAGATTCTTAATGGATGCATCGATTGCAACGTATCTATCCCTTAAGATTGGACATTGAGGTTGCTTTTAGTTATTTAATATTATAAACAGTTTTAAGTTGTGTAAATGGTTTTTTGTTCACTTGATTATGTCCTTAGGATAGATCCTAAGTAGTAGAATTTTAGATTCAAAAGCTATCACAGATTTTTAAGGCTTTTTTTCAAGAAAATTGAAAAATTCCATCAGCTTTTGAAAACACCCATTTCTCTTTACCCTCATTTACACTGGGTATTCTAACAATTAACCTTTTTTTTTTTCCCCTCAACTTTAATTTGGAAAAATTTCAGAATTCAGAAAGATTGAAAATACGGCACAATGAATATTAGTATATCAATATCTTCATCTTGATTCACCAGATTTAACTTTTTGAAACATTTGTTTTCCTTTTTTTCTGAAAAATTTAAAAGTAAAATAATTTGTTCTTAATTTGATGTATCCTGTGGACTTCAGTCCTAATTCCAGTAATCTATTGAATACATAGCATTGCTAGTTCATGTACTACAGCCTACAGTTTTGCTTTAGTTTAGTGGCCAAGTTTTGAGCAAGGAGAAATTCAGTTTTTAATGGCACCATGGAAGTATTGGGGTTTGGGTTTCAACTTTAATTAGTGTATTCCTTCGACAAATATAAATAGTAATAAAATATAAATTTTAAATGTGTGGGGAAAGGCATAAAGAATATGGCTTATTTCTTTTTGAAAATAACAGTGATTCACATATTTCATGCAGATTTCCCTATGCCTAATGAGAAACATGATGCGGAACTTGAGTCTCCACCTGCAAAGAAAAAAAGACTAGGTTTTTTCCAGACTTATGATGCGGAATATTTAAAAGTTGGTTTTATTATTTGTCCAGGATCAAAAGAAAGTTCACCAAGGCCACAGTGTGTCATTTGTGGAGAAATTTTATCCACTGAAAACATGAAACCAGCAAATCTTTCTCATCATTTGAAGACAAAACATTCAGAATTAGAAAACAAACCAGTAGATTTTTTTGAACAAAAATCTCTTGAAATGGAATGTCAGAATAGTTCTTTAAAAAAGTGTTTACTAGTTGAAAAGTCACTTGTGAAAGCTTCTTATTTAATTGCTTTTCAAATTGCTACCAGCAAGAAGCCGTTCTCCATTGCTGAAGAATTAATTAAACCATATTTAGTAGAGATGTGTTCAGAAGTTTTGGGTTCAAGTGCAGGAGACAAAATGAAAACCATTCCTCTTTCTAATAATACGATTGGACACAGGATTGATGAACTTTCTGCAGACATTGAAGATCAGCTGATTCAAAAAGTCAGAAAGTCCAAGTGGTTTGCCCTTCAGGTAGATGAATCATCAGAAATCTCAAATATCACCCTCCTTTTGTGCTATATTCGTTTCATTGATTATGATTGCAGTGATATAAAGGAAGAATTACTGTGTTGCATTGAAATGCCTTCTCAAATAACTGGATTTGAAATATTTGAACTAATAAATAAATACATTGACAGTAAATCTCTGAATTGGAAACATTGTGTTGGTCTCTGTACAGATGGGGCTGCAAGTATGGCTGGCAGGTGTTCCGGTTTCAGAGCGAAAATTCAAGAAATTGCCACGAATACTGTGGCATTTACACACTGTTTTATTCACCGTGAACATTTAGCAGCAGCAAAGTTGTCTCCATGCTTACATGAAATTCTTTTACAGTCAGCACAAATTTTAAGTTTTATAAAGAGCAATGCCTTGAATTCACGAATGTTAACAATTTTGTGTGAAGAAATGGGGTCTGAGCATGTGAATTTACCACTTCATGCCGAAGTACGCTGGATATCGAGAGGGAGAATTTTAACAAGATTGTTTGAATTACGACATGAAATTGAAATTTTTTTAAATGAAAAGCATTCCGATTTGGCCAAGTATTTTCTTGATGAGGAATGGGTTGCAAAGCTGGCCTATTTATCAGATATTTTTTCACTTATAAATGAACTCAATTCAAGTCTCCAAGGAACTATGACTACCCTCTTCAATTTGTATAATAAAATGGATATATTTAAGGAAAAGTTAAAAATGTGGTTGAAGCGTGCACAAGAGAATGATTATGACATGTTCCCTTCATTTTCCGAATTCTTAAACTCATCAGACTTAAATATGAGAGGCATTGCAAGCATTATTTCTGAGCACCTGGAAGGACTTTCTCAAATGTTCCACGACTGTTATCCACCAGAAGAAGATTTGCGTTCAGGAAATTTGTGGATAATTAATCCTTTTATGAATCACCAAAATAGTAATCTCACGGACTTCGAAGAAGAAAAACTAGTACAGTTGTCTTCGGATTTGGAATTACAATCAGTATTTAAATCAATGCCTGTAACTCAGTTTTGGGTAAATGCAAAGACATGTTACCCAGAACTCCATGAAAAGGCAATGAAGTTTTTGTTGCCCTTTTCAACTATTTATTTATGTGATGCTACATTTTCTGCTCTGACGGAGTCAAAACAAAGAAATCTGTTGGTTTCTGGTCCTGCTCTAAGACTTGCAGTCACATCTTTAATTCCAAGGATAGAAAAATTAGTGAAGGAGAAAGAATAGTAACATGGCTATTGCTTATTACCACAGTCTATAAAATTTTGTGTTAAATTTTGTATAAGTACCCTAAAATATAATTTCCTAATGTGGATATGTGCTTTCAGTGATTAAATAAGCATTGTAATATTTTTTTCTTTTTGTTGAGGAATCTAATAATGGTGCATTTATAAATAGTTATATATAATTTTATTAGTCCAAGGTAGCAGATTTAGCTATTTGATTGATTGATTGGATAATCTGGATTAGGGACAAAAATGAGGGTAACAGAAGGCATTTATAATGTCTTGGCACACCTGGATGTTAAAACCTCTTGGCCGTTAGAAACACATGGGCCATTGCAATCTTCAGCCAGGCAGCCCTGTTGTGGGGAGGTACAAAACTCAGATCCAAGCTGCTTGCCTAACCAGAAATGGAAGCAGCAGGAGAATTTGAGGCCCCCTGTAGGGGTCTCTGTGGCCCTTTCCACCAGGGCTGGGCAAATGTTTTCTATAAAAGGCCAGATAGTCAGTATTTTAGGTTTTGCAGGCCATACGGTGTTAACTACTCTGTTCTGCGGTTGCAACCCCAAAGCAGCTGTATGCAATACACAAACAAGTGTGGCTATTTCAGTACAACTTTTTATTTATGAGCATTGAAACAATATAGTTTTCATGTGTCATGAGAGCTGCCTTTAAATTTTCTTGTATCATTAAAAAATGTAAACATTGTTAGCTGGGGACGGGGAGGGAGTGAAAAAACCAGACAGCTGACTTAATCTGGCTCACCACCGTTTGTCCATCTGGGTCTAGACAGATCTCCAGGTAATAGCAGATGGGCCAGGAGTGGCCTGTAGGGTTTTGTTCAGTGGAAGTCTCTCTTCCTGCAGCTGCAAGTGTCTGAGTTTTCAAACACTTTTCACATTTTAATTTCAGCTGAGGGAAATTCAAGGGAAAATGTATTTTACACAAAGATAGGAAAGAACAATTTATAGCCACTTGTTGCTGGTTTATTACTGATTCCATAACTTAGTAACAACTATTGAGCTCTTCCATGGGCCAGGCCTTGTGCTAGGCCTGTTCTTCAGAACGAAGAGGCTCATCTGCCTTCACAGATACAACTGGGGCCCATGGAGGTTAGGTGTCAGCTGGCAAAGCTAGGGAGGCTCAGGCAGGAAGGAAATCCCGGTCTTCTGCGAGGCACGTGCAGATCCTCCTGTTGGACTGACTCTGTACTGGCTGGGAGACAAGAGACTGTCTGAATTCAAAGGGGCCCGTTTGGTCAGTTGAGCCAGTGGGCCTCAGTGTCCCCATCTGTGAGATGGGACTGCCCCGCCAGAAAAGAGGGTGGCAACAGCCTCGGGAGGCGAGGAGCGGGAGGCTCTGGCGCGGGTCTTCTGCCAGCCCTGGGGAGGAAGGAACCGAGCGGGCGGCAGGGGGCGGGTTCGGCCGGCCCTCCCTTGCCTTGCCCAGCCCTGCCCTCCCCTCCCTGCCGCGCCCTCTTCCCTCTACTCGCTCCCGCAGGGCCTGGGCGGCCATGGCGCTCGGGCTCGCGGCTCTGCGCGTCCTGCTGGGCGGCTTCTTCGCACTAACGGGGGCAGCCAAGCTTTCGGAGCAGATCTCGGCTCCGGTGTCCCAGCAGATGGTGAGCGGCGGGGCGGGGGCGGCGGCGGATGGACGCGGGGGCGGCCGCGCGGCGGCGGGTGCTGCGTCTCCCGCAGTTACCCCGGCCCTGGCCCCGGCGCCCGGCCAGTCTCTGGCCGGTCTGCCCGCCTGCCCGAGCCGGTGCCCCGCGGACCCGCCTGCCTTCCGGCGGGACGGCGCTGAGCGGGGGGAGAGCACGTCGACTTGAGACTGGGGCGCCTTCCTAGGGTGCTCCTCGGAGTCCTCTGGCTCTTGCCTAGACGGAAGGGGCGGGGCAGATCTTCCAGCAGAGCCCTGGGGGCCCCGCGCAAACCTAGGGCGGGAAGAGGAATGCGTCCGGACCCTGTGGGTGGAAGATAAAATGCAGCGGGGGAGCCAGCACCCTCTCCGTCTCCTTCTCCTCCTTCGCTTGCCAGCGTTCTTGGGAGGGTCGTGAGGAACGGGTTTAGTATTTATTATTCCCCGCTTGGTGGAGTAGGAAAGTCGCCCTGAAGGTGAAGTGTATCTGCTAAAGTTTACACAGCTAGTCAAGACGCAGGAGCCAATCTAGGTGCTCTCCTGAATCAGAATCTGGAGAGCCCTTAGCATGGAGGCAGAGAGGAACCTCTGCAAGTCCTCCTTCTGTCTCCTGGCTAGTTCCAGACTCCTGAAAAGCTTTCTTGTGGTTATGCCCACAAGTCTCTCCAGCCTCTCAAAAAAGCAGACTTGGATACCCCTGCAGCCTCCCTCTCCCAGGCCTGGGTTCTGCCTTTCCTTCCTGGTTTAGGATGGTGGATTGTTTGGGGAAGTACATCCCCAGAGCCAGACAGCTTAGAGTTTCTTTGTTGTAGCAGAGTAGGGATGGTAGAGCTGAGGTAGGGAGTAAGGGTGCACGAAAAGGTAGCGGGCCTGCGGGTGGTTGTCATATGGCCCAGATCAGAGCCTGACTCAGCACAATGAACCTCTTTGAGCTCCTTAACTGCTCAATGTCTACTGCAGTGGGATCCAGGCTCAGCATATCATATTCAGAGTGGAATCTGTTGAATAAGCAACAATTAACCTTTCATCCTCTCCTCAGCCTCCCAATATTCCCATCATAATATCCTCAAGAAAATCGGGCCAGTCAGCAAGAAGGAGAAGTTGTGGCATGCCTAACTTCCTGGGTCTTGGAATTTGGGGCTGGGGTCTAGTCCAGTGAGAGTCTGGTGAGAAAACCAGTCCTCCTCTGCACCACCATCCGGCCCTTCTCCTTGGAGTGGAAAGCCTGTTTCCTGATTCCAAAGCTCAGTTCCTCAGGGAGGCCCTCTCCTCTCCAGACTGACCTCAGCCCTGGGCCTGACCTAGCACGGTAGCTCCTTTGTTGGGGGAATTGAGGATGCAGACACAGAAGGCCCCCATGGAGTGCCCCGGTGGTGGACCCTTGAGTATGGCTGACAGGCATTCCCTGCCGCCCCTAGAAAGCCCTGTTTGTGCAGTTCGCTGAGGTATTCCCGTTGAAGGTGTTCGGCTACCAGCTGGATCCCATGAGCTACCAAGAGGCTGTGGGCTGGCTCGAACTGCTGGCTGGGCTGCTGCTGGTCCTGGGCCCACCGATGCTGCAAGAGATCAGTAACTTGCTTTTGACCGTGCTCATGATGGGTAAGGGGGTGCAACTGCGCTGGGGAAATGGGGACTTCTGGCTGAGGGTAATAGAAGATCTGGCTGTTCCCTTTACTGTTGTCACCTTTCTTTTTTTTCTGGAACCAGGAATACTCCCTGCTCTACTATAGTTTCCATGGTCTTTAGACTAGGAAAGGGGCTTTTTAAACTTAATATACTATAACATGATTCTATCTCAAACATACTTCCTACCTCACCGATTTATTTGGCTGCAGGGTATACCCATGGTGAGGATATCTTGTAACTTAAAGCCCCTGCCCCTCTCTCCTCACCCTTACCCTTGAGGCGAGGAGATGAAGTAGCAACTGCCATGGAGTTATGTGTCTGGCAGGTGGGAACAGAGAGCAAGGAAACTGGGGCCCCTGAACAGAAAGGCAGAGTATTTCCCTGTGACAGGGAGTTCTAGAGGAACCCCTCCCAGCGGCTCGGCTCACATGAACTGCTGATGTACAATGACAGCTGCTGCTTCAAAGGTCAGATGTTTTCAGCCTTGTCTGTATCCCCTGGTCTTGTGTCACCATTGCTGTCACCACGGCCACCCCTTTCCCAGGCCTTCTTTTCCATCTCTGGAGCTTTCCTCAACTTCAGATCTTTCCCGTATCTCCACCACTAACCCCTGGGCCGCCTCCTCTCCAGTAGGATTAGGAAGGGAGAAGGATCAGAAGTCATTCTAAAAGGCCCATCTAGCTACCTCCCCGTCCTACTTGGCAAGCTTGTTCCTCTTTCTCGCCCTCTGAGAGTGGCTACATTAGTTCAAGGGGCCTCTGATTCTTGGTTCTGTTCTCTTCTGGAGGCCAGAGAGATGAGTGCAACTAGTTTAGGGTGTGTGTATGTGTCTGTGTGTGTGTTGGGGGGTGGGGGTGTTGAATGGGAGGGTTTGAGCTAGAGAGGGTCAGGGAGCCTCAGGGACCTCACTTTCCATTCCAGGGGCTATCTTCACTTTGGCATCTCTGAAAGAGTCACCGAACACCTACATCCCACCTATCATCTGCCTGGGGCTCCTGCTGCTGCTGGATATCTGCCAGCTCTGAGTCCAAACTAAGAAGGTGATCAGACCCACCAGGAAGAAGACTCTTCCGAGTGCATCCAAGGGATCCTGGGAGTCCAGGGCCTCTTGCCTCTTCATGCCGTGTCACTGTCAGGGCAGGAACATGGTGAAAAACACAGTCTACTGCCTTGTTACCAGTACATCGGGGTTGGCCGGTGTTGAAGTAGACATCTTATCTACCTGACCCTGCTTTCTGTCTTGGACATTTACTGCTCTTTTTTAAAGGATACATGTTAAACATTCCTCATGTCATGTGAAAATTGAAAATAAAGAGAAAAGCAATTTAAATCACCCCAGATTTTAATGATGCACTAAAATAACTACTATTAATTCCTTTTAGTAACTGTACCCCTTTATACAGATATTTCTTTATACAGATATTTTTTAATGAAAATGAGACAAAATAAATTATTACCTGCTTTTCAAAACTCATACTGTAACATGATTCCAAGTCTGTTTTACCTCCTTGCTGTTAATGGGTGTATAGTATTCCACCTTAAGGATGTACTGTAATGTATTTACTCAAGGCTCCACTGAGGAACATTTAGATTGTCCCTGTGTTTTGCTGTTGCACACTTAACAGTAAACCTTTGCATACTTACTGTCTTTCCTTAGAAGTGAAGAGAGAGGATGGGGAGGGGCAGAGGGAGAGACAGAATCTTAAGCAGGCTCCATCCCCTGCAAGGAGCCCAGCAGGGCACTTGATCTCGTGACCCTGAGATCACTACCTGAGCTGAAAGCAAGAGTGGCTGTGGGATGCCTGGGTGGCTCAGTTGGTTAAGCATCTGCCTTCGGCTCAGGTCATGATCCCAGGGTCCTGGGATGGAGTCCTGCACTGGGCTCCCTGGTCATCAGGGAGCCTGCTTCTGCCTCTGCCTGCTGTTCCCCCTGCTTGTGCTCTGTCTCTGACAAATAAATAAATAAAATCTTTAAAAAAAAAAGACAAAAGGAGTTGGATGCTCAATGGATTCAGGCACCCAGGCACCCCTAGATTACCCCCCTTTTTTTTGCTATTGTAAATGTCCTAGTAAATCACCTTTGCATACTTACTGTCTTTCCCTAGAAGAGAGAGTGCTGCTTCAAAGGCACTCACATTTTTTAAATTTTTATGAAATCATTACAATTTACACATTTAGTATGGCAGACTCTTCTGCGTGGGTTCTTAAGCCACATGAAATACTCCTTCCTAGTCTTTTACCTTGTGCACCTTAGGCGTGCAGAGCTAACAAAGGTGAGCACAGAGTCATCATTTTACAGGCTCTAAAACTGCCAGCCTTTGGCACCTGGTGTGGTGCTTCCTGGATATCGACATGGAGGCAGAGGACTCCCAACTCCAAGGGATGCCGCATGGTAAAGTGCTCGGAGCCTGGGATGAATCCCAGAGATCCTAGGGGATCAGAACCAGGTGTGTGTGTGCGTGTGTGAATTATTGAGGGAAAGTGACCATGTTAGAGTCCTTACTATCATATCGTCAACTATCTTCACCTCACTAGGGGCCTTTTGGAAAGTGATAAATGCCTCCCATAATGGAAGATAGGAAAAGAGTTTATTTATGCAACTCCTCTAGCCATCAGCACACAGATCACTTTGGAGGTAGGGACAATGACTTTTGGGAGCCCACAGGAGTGAAGTCTGTACATTAGTCCATTTCATCTGCACTACAGAATGGTAATTTCCATTCTGACATGAAGAAATAGGAACCTCAGACAAGTTGGCACCCTTAGGTCTTTTCTTCTTGTGCCTAAGGGTAGAGTGGTTCGATCTAGACTGAGTGTGTGTATGTGTGTATATACATACTCTGGTACATCTGTAGTAGTACGTAAAGATAGTCGTATACGTAAAGTACATATAAAAAATGTGCTTGTGTACATTCACTACATAGAGTGTCAAAATAATCAGGAAGCCTCTTCTTCCACAGAGGTCCAGCGATGACATACCTTCAGTTTCTAGGTTGTGTAATTTGGCTACTTCACAATGACGTCAAAAACTCATGATCTCTCAACTTTCTGCTCTGCTGCTTTTAATGTATTGGCTCCTGCCCTCGGTGTTGCATGGAATACCCATGATGGACTTACACAAGTAAAGGTTTGTGCACCCTGGTCGGCAATGAACGGAGGGGGTAGATGAAGGTTACTGCCACTTACTAGCTTATTTGCAAAATATGGGTAATGACAGTAAACACTTCATAGAGTTGCTGGGAGGACTTAGTGAGCTGAAGTGCTTACAGTCCTGCCTGGCACATAATAAGTGCTCAGTAAATGCTATTATTAAATAGCATTTGTTATTAAATAGCCGTTTGTTCTACAGATGAGAAAACACATTCAGAAGGCTTAAGTGCCTGCCTGTCAGATCTGAGACTAGAATTAAGGCTTGATTGACTCCAGAACCCAACACTTCCCACCGCACCAGCTTCCCAAGTCAAAAGTGGGCAGGGATGACACCCACTGTTCTCTTTGACAGGGTAAATGGGATGATCTGTCCGATATGATTATATCAGCCTTGCTTTCCAGAATTGCCCCTCTGCATGAAAATTCGGAAGCCCAAGAAAGTAGAACCTGGAACCCCTAGGATCCTGGCCTCTTACCATCTTCTGCTCCTCCCAGGATGCGACGTCAGCCTGTCTCACAGGGCTTTAAGTAAAACCTCTCAGAGCTGGCATTAGATCGAGGGCTCCTGTCTAGCACAGTTTGGCCTGTAAGCTGATGAGCAGCTACAGGGTCCCCAGGCGCGGCTGTAGTGCCCGCCCCGCAGCTGTGGCCGAGGCAGCGGGCTGGCGGAGCGGCTGGGCCAGCTGGTGTGGAGCAGTTGGGATTGACAGCAGCAGGAGTCTCTTGAGCCTCCTCCGTCTCTTGCTTCCTCAATCCAAGGAGAAGCCAGGCCTCCGGAAATGTGCCCCCCAAACTGCTAACTAACCCTGGAACATGGTTAGGTCAGCACCATGACATTCAGCTGCAAGGCCTTTCTTATACCTTTCTCTCCTCCACCCTGTGCCCCGGGCCATCAAAGACGCTCCCTTCTCTTGGGGCCCTGCCTGGACCCCACAAACCCGCTCATAGCTGCCGCAGGTGGGCCCCAGCCCCTCCAGCTGTTGGGCCCATTCTTCACGTGGTGTTCTGGGATTAGTTGGCTGATGGGAGGTCTGAGATGTGTGGGTGGGAGTGGATTCTGCTGTCTCAGCTCCTTAAAGCCAGGGTCCCCAGATCCCCAGAGATTGCTGCAGCAGCCAGAACAGCAGGAGGTAAGAGAGGACTGATGTGCTGGGATGGCAGGGAAGGTTCATAGTGGGCCAGCTGGGGGCGAGAATCATAGTGGACAGAGCCGAGAGGGAGGGGGAGAAGAGAATACCCCAGGGTTCCAGAAAGGACTGCAGCCTCAGAGGTTCAAAGTATAAATTTTGGTATCAGAGGAACTGAGTTTTGGGACACCCTAGGAGGGTGACGATGCCAAAAATAGGGATAGGACCTTGGCTTGCGCACTTACCCCCCTTGGGGAAAGAAGAGGAATACGCCCAGATGTCTCTGTGTTGTTTTGTTTGCTGCGGGTGCCTGTGTGGGTGGTGTACACATTCATCTGCCTGCTGCCTGGAGAGGAAGGGAGCTAATGGTTATGAAGTGTCTCCCCAGTGTCAGCCACAGTGCTCAGAGTTTTACTTATGTTTCCTCATAATCCTCCCAACAACACTGTGAGGGAGGTATTTTAATCTCCACTTTAAGAGCAGAGAAGCCTGGCTCAGTGAAGCGGAGTAATTTGCCCAAGGTCATATGACAAATAAATGTGTGTATCAAGAATCTGCCTGATTCCTGGGCCTGTGCTCTTTTTTGCTCTGCTGTCCAAAGTTTTGAATCAGACCCAGGACCTCTTTGTGGTCAATTCCGGGTCCAGAGGAAGGGAACAGGCTGTAAAGCCCGAGAGTTGTGCTAAGTTTTCAGTCCTGTGCCAGGGGATCCAAGCAAGCGCCAGGAGAGGACCTTCAGCTACCCAAGTCCAAGGTCACTGTGCAGGGGTCTGTCCTCAGGGTCACTGCATCATAAGCCTGTTCCTCCATCCACGCTTTGTGGAGGCAGGAGGATTGGGCTTTTTCTGGGAAGGATTCTATAGTCCAGTCTGGTTTCTCCAGAACTCTGTTGGCTCAGCCTTGCTTGGGCTTACTGCAGATGCCCATGCCTCCATATTATCCGAACCATACTCCATCTGTGAGGGGTGCTTCCACCCTCTCAGTCACCAAGGCTGGAAATTTCCAAGCTATCTGGGACTAAGCCTCTTCCTCATTTCCCCGCAGCTTGTCAGCAAGCCCATTCTACTCGAAATGACTCTGGAGTTCATCCCCTATTCTCCATTCCCGGGGCTGCTGGCTCAGCTCAGCCCTCAGCCTCTTTCACGCGGACTTCCTAGCTTCTAGTATCTCCTCCCTGCAAGGACTGAGGCCGAGGAGGCCGGGGCCGAGGGAAGGTGGTATGGAGGGCTGCTTCTGTGGCTAGCCTCCGCCCTGACCTCTCTTCCGCCCAAGGTCTGAGATGAACGGCAGTGTTGGGGACCCGGGTGTCCGCGGCTGCAGCCCCTGGGATGACCCTGCTCGCGTCATCGTGGTGCCCGCGGCCTGCACCTTGGCTCTGGGCCTGGGGCTGCCGGCCAATGTGGCCGCCCTGGCGGTGTTCGTCCGCAGCGGCCGGCGCCTGGGTCAGGCCCTGTGGCTCTACCTGCTCAACTTGGCCCTGGCCGCCTACTACGTGGCCATCTACGCGGCCGTGGCCTTCGCCACGCTCATCAGCTTGTGCTGCTGCGGCTCCATCCGCGGGCCCCGGCCCAGAGCCGCCTGCTGCCTCGCGCTGCGCCGCCGAGGACCCGCGCGCGCCGCCTGCGCCGCAGCCTGCCTGGCTGGCCTGGCCTGTGCTGCGCCCTCGCTGGCCGCGCCGCACGCGCTGCACCCCGGGCCAGGGGGCGCCGCTCGGTGCCTGGAGCACGGCTGGGCTCGCGCCGGCCTGGCCTACGCCACCGTGGCCTTCTTCGCTGCCGCCTTCCTGCTGGTGTTCTCGGCCTACGTGAGCCTGGCGCGGGCCGCGCCCTCGGGCCCTGGCCCGGTCCCCGCCGGCCCGCACCGGCGCGCGGCCAGGACCATGGTGCTGGGGCTCCTGCTGGTGTTCGCCCTCTGCCTGGCGCCCTACCACCTGCTGCTGGCGCCCTGTGTGGCCGGGCGGGAGGGCGCGGCGGGCAGCGACGGCTTTAGACGTCCTGCAC